GCTGAACCTGCTACAGAATAAATCATAAGATCAGCTACCACAGCCTCGAATAAAATCATCGATCAATCAAGAACAACGAAGAACGAAACAAACGTGAATCGAGTTATTCGCGAACCAAAGCGATTAACCACTTGCGCTGGAAAGACGTGTCACGCACGTCGTAATGCTTTTGTCACAGAATCGCCAACGACGTGGTATACACGTCGTTAGGCGATTGTTACAGAAATACTGGACCGTTCTGGCACACGCGTCTGTGAATTTCTTGCCACCGCAAGTGCTTAATTTTCTCCCTTTTCTAAAATTTCGATCCATGTTTCGTTCTTCATATTCGAAACAAACTTCGCGACTTGATCGAATTATCCGATAAGAAAAGTATTATAAAAGGTACAAAATCCGAAACAGCAAAAAGCAAAGTTCAGAAGGGATTTGCAAGACTGAGGGGTAGTAGAAACAACCCGAGGTGGGTTTACCAGCAATACCAGTTGGCAAAGTGCCTTGAAAGCTTCGAGTTTAGGCTACTTTATGGATTTATGGCGGTTAACTGTTAACCCGAACTGCGTAGGTTGCCCGAGAAGCAATCATTCGACTGTGACTCAAATGAAACCAACTACAGACTGAATCAAAGGCCAACTCGCGAGAGCTGCTTCGAAGATGGAGCAAGATTCTCTTTGATCACCAAGTTACTCGAGCAGCACAGCGACTTGCACCTAAGCACAGGTAGTTAACGCACCTAAACGCCATAAAGCACCGGAAGAACCGCGATTGGTCGCGGTCCACGAACACCAGCTCGCAACGATTTCACGAATTTTCAGCTAAATCAATCCTTTCATTGAAAAATCCGTCTATCGCAAAATTCATTGATGTACAATACACGGTACAACGTAAAACTCGATAAATAATAAAACAAGGGACCATATTCAATCCATACGCGAGGATTTTGATGAAATTTACGTGGGAGATAGTTGTCAAAAAAATAATAAAAATTGTTAATCGACCATTAGATTGTCTTCTTCATCGTCACTAGCCTCCTAGATTTCATGATTGAAATTTGTATAACATTTATATTACATATGCAAATTATTTTTAAAATACTGTGCTACTTGACAAAACATAGAAAATAAAATTTGACATAGCAATAATCATTTCGCTATATGAGAAAAATTCCTGTGCAACACGGTTTCCTATAACGCGAACTGCTACAAAACACGGTGCACATTGACAGCGTTACACGATTGTCTGAATATTGGAAAATAAAGGAACAGGTAAGGGAAAATTGAATACTGTAGACACGACGATAATGTCAAGTGTGCTCTAAGACTTCGTGTCTACAAAGTATCGACCCAAGATACCTAAAACAGAAGAATGTCGGCCACCGGTCACCGATGCTCGGTGCATCTAGCATCATCGGTGCACTCTAGTACTCTGACTCAACTGTTACTCTTCGAATAACTCGCGACCGCGGGAAAAAGCGGATAACGAGCTCGGGAACGTGATCCCGGGGAGAGTTGGAACAATCGAAAACCGCAATTTCGCTCGGTTTACCGTCCAAACGGTCCGTGAAGTTGGCCCAAGCGTGTTCCTTTTCCGACCGTCTTCCGTCTTCCGGCGGATGAGGGTAAAAGGATAAAGGAAACTCTGCGTTTCGCGAATCCCGAAGTAGAGCGTGTTCAGGAGATCAATGATGCGAGGAAGATGCGAGGAAGCAGACATCGCCATGACCTGAAGATTCGCACTTTGTTCGTGACTAGACTATGAAAGTAAAGAAGAATTGCGTGTGATAAATTAAATTCTAGTACTGTCTTTATATTATCGCTACGTGTATCCCGTTATCATCGAAGTCAAGGATGGAAGTGGCAGATTATGCGATTGTTGGAAGAGTACTGATATTTAAATGATGGAAAGATGATATTTGTTATACTGAAATAGTTTTAAATTAATTTGATAGATTTATTATACGTTCATCTTGGACTTCGAGTACCTCGATACAAGTATCGACCGATTTTTAGTTTAAAGGGACACGATTGTAGGAGAATATTGCATTGATGGACGAATTTTGAAGGATGTATTGGACGATATTTCATGAGAACAGACGTAGTTTTATTGCTTCGTTGCACGGATGGTATTGGATTAAAAGTTGAAGGAGGTATGAGACGGTTTGACGAATGGGTAATTCGTTAGACCATCTTTCCGCGAATATTTTGAGACATATTTCCATAACACAGGATTATATTTGGGGAATTGATAGATGACAGTGACGTATCCATGAAGATATAAATCTAGAACCTTTGTGATATTCAATATTGTTCTTTATAAATAGATAAACGCTTATTGTAATACAGGGACCTCGCGTATAGGTCACATGGTAATTAGGAAATAGATACTAATTATAACCTTCTACGGAAGCTCTAATAATCCAACGAACATGTCAATAGCTATTTACCACTCTCTGTTTCGCCCTAGAAAAAAGAGACAGACCCCTATCCATGTTAAAAATTATAAACTAAACGCCTTAATAAAGACCTATGAGGTAAAACGTTCGCCATTAACCGTGACGTAGGAAGCTTGACCTCGTCCTTGCATTTTAAATCCTTGTTCCAACATCCATGATTAAATGAAAACTGGGTCTGTGGGTGTTTGACATCCGTGATATGACCAGGGCATAGAAAACAGAGGACTGTAAATTAATTTCGTCGTATACCGTCATTCTTGTCCGCAATAATTTATTTCCAAAATCGAGAACACGTAATACAAAAATCGAAAAGACGAGAAATTCGATCGAAATGCGAGAAGGATGAAGGAATAATTCGGTGAACCGTCTCTCTGCAAATATTTTACAGTGAATTTCGACGACACGGAGGATTAAATTTAAAAAAAGAAATAATAGAGAACAGTGATGTATTCCGATTTCAGGTATAAATCTGGCACGTCCACGACAAGTGAATTTCGACGACACGGAGGATTAAATTTAAAAAAAGAAATAATAGAGAACAGTGATGTATTCCGATTTCAGGTATAAATCTGGCACGTCAACGACGCTCGCGATTAAATGAAAACTGGGTATGTGGGTGTTCGACCCGTGTGAAATGAAAAAGACAGGCGAAACGGAGAAATATTAGCAGACGTATAAATTTTCTCACAGCACGTACACCTCGTAAATTATCTTCGTCGCGTCGCATTATGTCTGCCCGTAACAATTTCTAAAACCATGAACATACAATACAGAAATTACGCGAAGGCACACTTCCTGTTGGAACACCTCGGCTGGAAAATGTATCTGACAGAAGACAATCCGCTTTCCCTTGCTACTTTACCGTTTACCTCTCCCTTGCATTCTGCTTATGCGCTGTCTTAGCTTCTGACACGTGCATTATTAAACAATCGAGTTCGTTGATAATTCTATCCGAGATTCTCAGGTCACAGTAACAGAGATCCTGATAAAAAAATAGGCAACTTTCTCTTCCTCCTACGATCAACTCAGGGGAGTCTTATAAATGAACATCTTTATTCTAACATTTGCGAAACGTTCTTATCCTACACCTAAAATCAGTGGTTCTAACGTGATATAATTAAACAATTTTCTACTGATTAACTCGTAAATTCCAATTATCGATTCGACCACGACTGGAACACGGGAATTCTGGGAATAACACGAGAAAACTAGAGTAGTCAAGAAAATAAGTTGGGGACGAATAAAAATGTCAACTGGATGCCTCTTTCTATTTTCTAGAGTCTAACAGAGGTATCCTCGAGGAAGCTAACAAGGATCACTCGAGCACCCTGACAACGCGGCGTTCGAGCATCGCAAAGTCGAATAATCTCGAAGATCATCTAAAGCTGAAATTTTAAAAAAGATCGACAAATTCGGGACCGAATTATTTTATAAAAATCGGTCATTCCGCGTGTACGCGGTCATTAAGAAGTGTTAACAAAGAAATAAAGGAAGAAGACCAGAGTGCTTGGTTCGCGTGCTAGCGACCTGGATTCCTGTGGAAAATCGCAAGCTGGTCAAGGCGCGCGAGCAAAAATGCAATTTGTCACGGCATTGTGAACCGCGCTCGCGAATTCGTACACAACGCGCGAAAAAATCGAGTAACTGGGGCAAGAAACGAGCAACACGATTCACGATTCAGCCTTAATATCCTTTCCGTTCTTTGGGACTCGATCGTCGCTTCTCGAAAGCTGATCCGGATTACGTTCAGCCGCTAATTAACGAAATTACCCGAGGTTCGTCACCTGCGAAAACGTTTCCGGGAAACGTCGAGGAACTTCCGCTCGAAAGAGCGTTCCGCTTTGGAAATTCGAGCGTCTTTGACAGCTAATTGAGAGCTAAGTTTGGAGCCATAATCGCTTGAGAAATAATCCGATAATCCGCGATGTAGACATACGTTTTATTCCCTTTACAGGATTTCCTGATTTAGATCAATTCACAGGTTGGTACACTGTTATTCGGGCTAGTAACAAATTTCGGTGTTTAGTAACAAACGAGTGTCAAAGTTTACAATTTCTGCGATAGAATTATAGGCTTGTCGATTAAAGCTTCCAGGTGTCCATTAGAAACTTTATCCAACGCTTCTATGACTTTACATCTAGCATCATGGGTAGTGTTATCAGTGCGTCACTTGACCTCTAATGAAACTAGC